AGCAGAAAAGGAAAGATCCACTGGTATCATAATTACCAATAGTTTCCAGTCACATTACCCCCCCCCCCAAAAAAAAAAAAGAAGAAAAAAGTAATATAATCCACATCATAAATTTACGAATTAACATCTCTACAACCATACTATCTATTTCTAATACAAATATCTAAATCACAAATTACACGTCAAACAGAGAACGAAATAAATACAATCACTACAAAAAAATTGTATCACAACTATAACAACCATAATATCTATCCACAACACATCAATCCCTTAACCACAACTTCTCACAGTCATAATCACAATCCCCAGTAACTCCCATTACAAAAAAAGAAAAAAAATATGCATCACAACCTTGCAAAACAACAACAAAATTCTTCACAACTACAACAACACACCTACAGCCATACAATTCCCAGTAAAAGGAATTCAACTCGGGAATTCTGATCTTATGACTAACTTGAATACTTTCTCATATTACTGCTCAGATGCCAACACACCAACTACCTCAACCACGACGAAACAATAAAAAAAAAATCATCCAAAAACACCAAAACATCCACAATTCAGAATCACCAATTCGTAAAAACTCTCGGGCCCAAAAATCTCAAACCCGATGCCCTCGAAGACGCCCACGCCGCCGTCTCCGCAGCTGCCCAGGTTCCGGTGGATCGACTCCTTGTCCTTGACGGTGCAGCCGAGTTCGTCCAGACGCCATTCCTGGAGAGGGAGGGACGGAGGGTGTGTAGAAGGGTGTATGAGGGTGTAGAAGAGTGCAGAAGAGTGTAGAAGGGTGTGTGAGGGTGTAGAATGGTGTATAAGGGTGTAGAAGAGTGTAGAAGGGTGTGTGAGGGTGAAGAAGAGTGTAGAAGGGTGTGTGAGGGTGTATAAGGGTGTATAAGGGTGTAGAAGAGTGTAGAAGGGTGTGTGAGGGTGTATAAGGGTGTAGAAGAGTGTACAAGGGTGTATAAGGGTGTAGAAGGGTGTGTAAGGGTGCAGAGGGGAGTAGAAGGGTGTAGAAGGGTGTGTGAGAGTGCAGAAGGGCATAGAAGTGTGTATTAAGGTGATAAGGTGTGATAAGGGTATATCCGTGTGTTGAAGTGGGTATATGAGTGAATAAGGATGTTCAGATGCTGTTTTTTGAGAGGAAGGGAGGGAGGGAGGAAGGGAGGAAGGGACCTCGTGTGTAAGGGTGTATAAAGGTGTAAGGGTGTTTTCCCGGTTAGTTGGGCGGAAAAAAATGAAAGGGACTTTGCGACATATGTATCCTCTATCGGTTGAACTAAGTGAGATTTTCCGATCATTAACTCATGAACGAACTAATGTTAAACAATACTATGCAATACAATGTTATACAGTGTTATACAGTGCCATATACTGTTATAAGATATCATACAGTGCTATACAATATCATATAGGGTTACAGAGTGCTACACAATGCTATAAAATATTATACACTGTTATACATGAACGGAAAACTCACAGTCCCATCAACAACAAGAAGATCACCTCCGCCACACATCACATCCGCAGCTACTGTTCCAAGGTTCGTAATTTCGCTCCCGGGGCACGCGAGAGTCAGCTGAGCCCCGGCCGATACGCTGAAGAGATGGGGAGTAAAAAGCTGTCGTTAGAAGAAGGGATGGTTAGAAGAAAATGAATAATTTCGGAGGATATGGAGGTTTTCCATTGAGAATGGTCTGTGGAAAGGTTAAATGGTACTCTAAAGTAAGTGGAAGAAACTCGGGTCTCTTACTATTTAATTGTCAGTATTCGATAACTCTCTCTCTCTATCTCCTTGTTTTTTTCACTTTAAACATCAACACGCACTCACTCCAATCTCTTCTCTCTCTTTCTCTCATTTTCTCTCCCTCTTCTTACCCTTTCTTCCCTCTTCCTTTCTTCGTCTCCCCTCTTCTCTCTTATTTCTTACCACCTTCTAATATTTCTTTTTATACATCAACACGCACTCTCTCCATCCTCTTCTCACTCTTTCCCTCATTTTCTCTCTCTCTTCTTGCCCTTTCTTCCCTCTTCCTTTCTTCCTCCCCTCTCTTATTTCTTACCACCTAATATTTCTTTAAAAGCAAAACCTTGTTTACTAAGAAAGGATAAGTTTCATTATATCTGCTATTCTCTGTAAGCTAAAAGAATAAAAGGAATCTAACCCCAAATCGGGAGTTCTGATCTGATAACTTTAATACTCATTTTTTTCATTTATTACGCGCAACAGATTTTGATTTGTCAACTGCCCGTTGCTTGTTTTCTTGATTACTTTCTCATGTATGTTAATATAGATTCCATATTACTGTTCAGATATTATTTGATGATTTGTCTTTCTACTGCTTCTCTTTTCAAGCCAATCAACGAAATTAAAGAAAATATATAAGAAAATTAAACTCATAAAAAAAATTACCGTTGCTCAGGCCACGAAAACTATTTAGGTAGATATGTTTTTTTTTTCCATCTCTTGATTATCCTTTCTCATTTTTTTGTCTTC